GAAACCTGTGATCTCAAAAATCACTGATTGTGAGAAATTTCATGGGAGGAATCAGCGTGGGTCCTAAACATGTCCATAATCTCTCTCTATATAGAGAGAGAACATCTGGACATGATATTGGTCCCAAGTGGACTGCTGATCATGCTGAGTTACCATCTCTACCTCCTTAATTCATAGAATCCTAAAACATCTTGAGACAACCGTCATTGGCTATGAGAAGTTGAGAACGACCACGATAGTCGATAGTCGATAGTATGGCTTGGGTTGAGAGGACGTTTCTGGTTATACAGAACTTTAATTTCCCTACTTTATTCCAGACTGAGTTCTCGTATTTCTGAAATAGCTAGCTAAGTAAATTAGGTCCGTTCGTTGATAATTAATGGGTATTGGCAGGCTGATTCGAGCAACCTTGGGCAGCTCAAGTAACACATTCTGCTGCAACCTTCCTTTGGGCCCAGGACCCAGGTCACTAAGCTCACTTGGACGGATCGCAGTTGGCAGAGAAGAAGAATACTAGTTTCTGTTAATTAATTTAATTGAAAGCTAAAGCCCTCATTTCATATGGATTATGGAATGAATATGAAGCCCATACTTCTCTATACACCCATGACCCAAGTAATGGACTATCCTATTAACAAGTATGAGGCAATTAGTGAGGTTTCTTAAAGACCAAGGTTTTTCACACTTGGCAAATTAGTTTGGAACTCAAATTAAGTTTTTGGGTTCTTCTCTCCACCCTCTACCAATTCCTCCCATAAAAAAAAAAAGCAACCTACATAAAGTGTCAATCGACTGGTTTTGGATTGGACCCCATGCAGTTCAAAATCAATTTGGATGAATTGAACGGACCTACAAGACATTGGATTGGACCAATCTAGTCTAAAATATTTATTAGATGGATTTGACCTGATCCGTCTGTAACAATTTTATATTGGATTGGGTTGGATTAAGCCAATATCTGGTCCATTTATATAAGATAAGAATACATGTATCAATGGGCCGAATTTGAGTTGAAACCAATCTAAATCAAAATGAATTTTAATATATTGGACAGTCAAGACATTGAATTGGACCTGTCCAAATTGGTCCAAAACATTCATTGGATTGGATTGGACCTGCTCCATTTATAATGAATTCACATTAGACCGAATCGAATTAGACCAAATCTAATCCGATTGACACCCCTAAGCCTACATGTAACGCATGCCCAAGCCTTCTCCTACTTGGATTAGGCTGCATGTTTGGGCTTATCCATTTAAGCCATTTAGTAATTAACATTATTGAAACATCAAAATTAAAACCTGAATTTGAACTAAATTTTATAGTGTACAAACTGGTTTCATGTTCATAAAAGTATAATATAAATCTCATTTTATCAATTTCCACCTTGTTCTCTTATCCAAGATCGCAATTGCTCCACTTGTTAGAAGTTTATAAGAGAGACCTCTAACGGAAAAACTGCAATAAAAGAAGAATATTTCCAATAAAAAACTTCGAAGTGAATTACAAGGTAATATAAAGACCCCTACCTACCCATGAATTCACGCATAAAGTGGACTCTCATCCAACCTTCTAAACAACTAACTCATTCTTATAAATAAGACACTGGACCTTCTTGAAGTTTCTGGTTGTTACCGAAACTAGGGGTGCAAGTTGGGCAGGTTAGGCCGGGTTTATGGTCAACTCAGGCATTCTAAAATTTGGGTTTAAGGCTCAACCCAAAGTCAAGCCCGATTTTTCCAATCCAAACCCAGCCTACACTGTAATTTGATGCATTTGGATTGGGCTCGAGCCCAGGCCGGGCTCAGATTAAGTTCGGGCTACCTAAGGACTAGGCCTGAGCCCAACCTGAAAATTAAAAAAGCCTAACTTTTTGGGACCAGGCCCAGCCCAAGGACCGGAAATCCAAGCACAGCCTGTGTAAAATTCTGGGCTGGGCCTGTCCAAATTGCACCCCTACTCAAAACCTCCCCTAAAGCTTGGTAATTGCAATCGCCTTCCCTAAACCTTTTTAACATAGTTGCAAGTGGACCCCCTTTGTTTGAATCCTCTAAAAAGAGCCATGAAAATGTCCAAAAATATCCATGCAGTTGCTTTTGACCAAAATGTCTATTTTCCGAATTTGTTCCTCATATGAATGGCTAGCCCAATCCCTTTTAGCTCTTTATTTTTTAAATTTACCCTTCATATCAATAACAAACGTAAAGCTACAACTTTAAATTCTCATTTTCTAATTGCAACTGTGACAAAAAAAATCAGAAAAGGTAATTATAATTATCAAACTTGAAGGGAAGTTTCAGAAATTTACCCGATAAGAAAATCAAAACTAATCTCCAATCTCCACACCGAACTAACGATGTTAATTTGCATGTTATACTTCTACTCACCCATTTTGGTAACTAATTAACCCCTTCAAAATCTATCCATAACTCAAAATACTAACACTTTGACACATGGGCCCACTAAGAAACACGTAACAGGTTACAAATATAAGTTGATGACTTGATGCACAACTAGAGGTGTGATGTGGGCTGGGCTGGGCTGGGCTGGCATGATTTGCATAAAGAAATTTAAAAAGTAATAAAAATTTAAATTAATAAGATAGACAAAAAATTAAGAAAAAAGGTTTAAAATTTTATTATATGAATTTTGATGTACATAATTATTTATATATATATATGATATAATAAAATAAAATTGAAAAAAGAAATAATAAAATTAAAATAAAATCTAGACTTGATAGGCCAGGCAATATAGGCTGGGTTGGACTTGAACATCAGACGGGGGAGGGGGTAGTACTGTTGCATGACCCCGTGCATCGGCATCCATATTACAAATGTAAAGAATCTTCCAATATATTTTCATCTAAAATATCTCTGTTGTGGCTTCTATGAGCTAGTTAGCCAATCCCAGTATTCTCTATTGGTAATGGGATTTATTGCAAGCTAAAAACTTTGCATGTACCGCGAAATCATGGAAATTCAGCCATACATAAAGAACATCTCCCTATAAATTTAACATACATATATGAGAGATATTCTTAATGTGTGACTGACTGTAATGTGAATAAGTTTTTTACTTTCAGGAGATCCAGGCTATTCCTATGGATCCTGATTTCACAAAATTATCTTACCCGTATAATTTCAAGTAATGCACCTGAAGGCATCTGAGTAACTTGATTTCCTTGGACTTTGGCTATTAGTTTCAAAGAATTCAATGCAAGGCCCCCTTGTTGGTTTTAGAAAATTTTCTTTCATCTGCCTTGCCAAATTGTCCAAAGAAGAGGAAGAGAGAACTTTTTTCCAGTAGTTTGAATGTCGGCATCCGCATCTCCATCTGTTACCACCATACCATTCTAAACTTTTCTCCATCCCGTTTTTAGGACCTAAGCCTTATTCGCTTTTTGGTAAGTTACTTATTTAGGTAAATATAGTTATCTGGATAAATTTTTTCTAGGAAACACTTATCCCAATAAGTGTATTTATCCATGTTCTTTTATTTTTCATGTAAATAAGACAATGACCATTTTAACCATAAAAATCCATTATTAAAAAGGGCATTTTTGTTCCATTCAAGTGTTGGCAACTTTTCCCCTACGTGAAAAAATTATTTATCCACGTAAGAGATGGGTATCACTTGCTCAGGAAAATAAATTTTTTCTATTCCCCACATAAATCTGAAAAAAGAATATTGAATTTTTGGTCAATGAGAACCAAAATCCGATTGACTAACTTTCCCCCCTCTCAAAATCCAAAAAAAGAATACCCCCTTAGAATCACATTTACTTATAAATGTAAAGACAACTAATAATCACCACAATTTTTTGTAGTTCGTTTTTTTTTATTTTTTTGAATGGGCCTAAAGGCCAAAATGCAATAATAATCAACCGTCTTGAATTACAGATCCTTCAAAGCAGGATAAATCCTAATTAACTGTGAAGTACAGGAGGGGGGGGGGGGCGGTGACACCATTCCAAAAGAAATGACCAGAAATACGCAATTTGGCAAGAGTATCAGAGTATCAGACAGATTCAAAAGAGGAAGAGAAAAGCCTCCTGCAATCTGCAACATACGCATGTATTGACCAAAGTGGGGAGGAAGACTCCTCCAACAGCTATTGGAACTTGGATTCAGTGGACCCTTCGGTCCACAGGATGCATGCACCCTCCAATAAATTTTAAACACGTCGGTTTGTACTTTTAACAGGAAAACTAAGGGGTTTCTTGTCTTAACAGTGAATTGCATGGTTGAACAGGGTATTCAAAGTATTAAAACAAAGATTTTGATCGGGTACTCAAACGAACAAACTCATCTTCTCCTCTAGAGCCCGAAATCCTCTTTGCTCTGTCTCATTAAACCCTAGTCTTTAACCAGACCACTAGTAGTGGTGACCGGCGGCACCAACGTTTAATGACAACATTCAACCAGCAACTACATTTCCCGTTTCTTCTTCTTCTTCTCATAGAGGTTAGGGTTCTACCCTACCCTTCAACTGGGATTCTTTTTCATTCTTCACCGGCGGTTGCTGGCGAAGAAGAAGAAGAAGAAGAAGACCGCCTGCCGCCGATTTAGGGTTAGGGTCCTGCTTGCCGCTGGTTGAATGATTCACCACCAGAGATCGGTGAATCAGTGAGGATGTCGCCGGTTTCTGTGTTCTTGAACTAGGGCTCGGGTGACTCGAGAATGGGGGAGAGAGGGAGTTGAAACAAAGGGAAATATTCTCCCTCTCGATTGATTTTATTTTCGTCTCATCCGATTCCCGCCCGGTTCAACCAGTTCACGGTTATTTAACCTAACAGCAACGAGAGATATTCTCAGGTTCGAAGGGGTGACGTGTATGCCTCCTATTGGAGGGTTCACGCGCCCTGTGAACCCCGGAGTCCACTGAATCCGGACTCCAGATATTGCATGTGGAACTCTAAAATGAGACAATGTTCTAATGCATGGTGAATGATACGAGCTCAGATTTCCTACTCACTTTTCCTACCCGCAGTGAATTGGAGCCACACATTTGGATAACTGCAACGCAACTTCCACGTCCTCTCTTGCATTGCTTGCTGAGAAGCAATTAGAAATTAGAATAGATGATTATCGATCGGTTCCGCCCAAACGTAACGCCAAAGACAACTCAACTCCCAAATAAACCGTAAAACCGATCATCAAAATGTTAACACTTTTAATTTTGTTTTGTCAGAAGTAGAAGATTTCCATTTCTCGAAGATGAAGTTCCCTGAAATCAATGAACAATTCCCAATTGCTCCAACTGTCGAAACAATTCCAAACGCTTCATACTATATCCAACGGCAAAGATCAGTTCTCGAATTTTTAGAATTTTCCTAAACAAGAAGCCTTAATTGGTGGTTGAATAATGCAAAATTCCCTGAATTCCTTTAAGGGAAAAACGAAAGCAAAAAATATGGAAATCAATTCCTGAGCTTGGTATGGAGTAAGCAATCAGAGATGGATGGTCGGCCGCCAGAGAGTAGCCTCAGAAGGGATGCCGAACTTATACAGCACGAGAACGACAACACCAGCCAACAATCCACTAGGACCCAACAATGTCGAAACAGGCGAAGCGATGGACTGATGAAGGACGTTTGGCTTGAAAGGCTTAACCCAAGTGGGACTTATCGTCAGCAGTTCTCCTGCTCCAGAGTTTTCTTCGTGTCTGTGGACCAAAATCTCTAAGCTTACAAAGACCCACTTCATTAAAACCCAAAATAATGAAAAGATTCTTTTTTTTCTTTTGATAGATGAGAAATGGAATTGAATTTAAGAGGATAACCATCAACCCATAGCAGTATTGGTACCAGTTCCCTAGCTCGTCTTGCGCGTTCTCAGGGAGTATGAAATCGGCGGAAACTTGAAGGGGAAAGAGCCAGTGGTGGTGGTCAACTGAAGACGGCGGTAGGAGCTTGATGGGTCCATTTTCTGTTGGAATTTTTGTTGTATCGTTGCTGCAATGGTGGTGGTGGCGGAGGGCTTCAATTGGGTTTGGGGATAGCGCACGAGAACAAAAAGGTGCTGACTTCACATGGGAATTCTTGGCGTGTTAGTACTTGGAAACACACGCTCACGCTTTGTGGAATATCCTCTTGGGGTGTGTATTAAGGTTAAGTGCCAATTAATAAACTTCATTTTCTTATTCTGCAGTTTCATCATGGACTGCAATTCAAGGTACCCATTGCTTGCACGTCTTCCACCTGTTCGGCTGTTCCTCCCACTCAAACTCAGATGAGAGATAAGTAAAGCTTTTCTTTATCCCAAATACGTGGAGTCTCCCAAACTGTAGATAACTAACTCCAGAGAAACAATGAAGTTTGCGAAGGAAGACCTAGACATGTTCCTGGTTCCAACTGGATTGTGGATCATGTTTGGTTACCATCTCTTCCTCCTCTATAGAATCCTGAGATATCCTGAAACCACTGTCGTTGGCTATGAAAACCACAATAGGATTGCTTGGGTTGAGAGAGTGATGCAGGTTAGAACTCTCTCTCTCTCTCTCTCTCTTAATTATCTGATAACTCAATTGGTATTGGCAGGGCGACTCAAGCGACCTGGGGTCAGCTCTGACAGTGATCTCAAGCAACACAGCAGCAGCAACCTTTTTGTGTTCAATTTGTATCAGTCTGAGCTCCCTGATTGGAACATGGGTTGCAAGTTCTTCGGACAACATCCTTGTGAGCAGCCTAATTTATGGAGACACAAGCCAGACAACAATCTCCATCAAGTACATCAGCCTCCTCTCATTTTTCCTCGTCGGCTTTGTATCGTTCGTTCAGTCTGCAAGGTACTTCGTCCATGCCAACTTCCTGATAAGCACACCGAATACCAACATACCCATAAAATATGTGCAATTGGCTGTGATAAGGGGAAGTAATTTCTGGTCGCTTGGGCTTCGAGCACTCTACTTTGCTATTACTTTGTTGCTCTGGATTTTTGGTCCAATCCCAATGTTTGCTTCATCAGTGATCATGGTGATATTCCTGCATATTGTTGACACAAATCCCCACCCACTGCATCAGTATAGCATGCAGAGACGTCCGTTAAAAAAGCTAAGCCAGGACCATGACCTCATCAATGGGAGTTAGGTTGGGGAGATGTGCAACCAAGGAAGCAGTAAAACAAATCCTCCTCAAATGAAAAACAGTATAAAGCTTGCAGATGCCTCAGTCTTTCCCTCCATTTCCACAGATTTCAAATGGGTTTTCTGCTTTCAAAAGCAATTGGTGTCTTCTTGTTACTACTAGCCTTTGGTCATTGCTTTACAATCTGATACTTTCTCTTGAGAATAAACTGAATTGATCCAATTTCATAAGTTCAGTTAACTTTGGACAGATGCAAATTGCATTTTTTTTTTGAAAGGTAGAGCAAGAGTAGTAAGCATCTTCAGTACTGGACTACTTGGGAATTTGTTATTCCACACTATCAATGGCCATATTCTCTGTTAACTTCTGGGGAAGACAACGGCATTATGAGCTTGATTGCTTGAAACACGATTGAGGTATATTTTAATAAGAGACAAATGATCTATACTCGCTTCCACCCTGACAGAAGCCGCCTTCATTTGGGTTTGGGAGTAGTGGTAGAGAACAATCTCAACGCTGGTATGAGTATCAATTACAAATATTTTTACTAACATATAATTCCCTCCGTTATCAACTCTTTAGAGATGCCAATATCATGATTTTTAAAAACCTAACCGGTGACCGAACCGGTCAGGGGTCTGGTTACCAGTTTGAATGGTCCGATCGTTCGACCCGAAAGGCCGGCCCATTCTGACAAAAAAAATAAAAAAAAATTAGAAAACTGTTAAAACCATTCAAACGGTTAACTGGCCGGTTCAACGGTTTGCTGATCAAAATCAATGGTTTTGGAGGAAAACAGACCGGTTCCCAGTTTTTCCAGTCCGACCATCCGGTCCAGTCCGGTTTTGAAAACCATGGCCAATATAAAGCGTAAGGCTCAGTTTGTATTTGTAGTTTTGAAACTGAGCATAAAGTTCCCCTTCATGGTCAATGGATATTTTTAGGGAAATAGTATTTGTCAACGCATACATTTCATAATGTGAAGCAAAAACTTTCCCAGATACTTTGTTTTGTTGTTATAATAATAATTTCCTTGAGGCTCCTTTTGTTTCCAGTGATCTGAATGGGGTACAAATTCTGCACCCAGTTCAGTTTTGCATCCGTTTGTTTGTAATTATGATTTATACTCCTACTTGTGCAAAATTTGTATCACCTTCTTCCTACTTCAATTCTCTCTCATATAAAATCTGGATCATCATTTTGCTTCCGACCTCATTACTAAACAAACAACATTTATCCTACCTCCATTTTTTTCATATAAAGTGATTACTTATATTTTATTTCCTAATTTACTTCTTACAAACAAATAAGACAATGTCAAATCTGAAGGCCTAGCTTATTTGCAATGCAAATTTTAATTGCATTGGAATAAAATGCATGGGAGTGCAAAGAGGCTAAGTATAAATTCTAGTTTACTTTTGGTTTACATTGACTGTCTTATATATTTGTGATAAGTAAAATGTGCTGGTTGATGTATACCCATAAAATGGGCTGGGCCAAGAAATAGGCCTGGCATGGTTCATCTTTTGTGATTGGGCAGTTAGGGACCTCAGCCAATCAACCACAAAATGATGGGATTTCATTACCATCACAGCAATGGTAAGGTTGTGTTTGGTGTGAGCGAGTCCAAACTTAGTTCAGACACATCCTATTTAAGAAATGGCTCTTAAAATTAAGGTTGCATTTGGTATCATTATTTTTTTCTACTAAAAACATTTGGGGCTGTCTCATCGCATCACATTAGATAACCACTTTCACCAAAATTGTATGCATTGGATTGGTGTTGGCATTTATAATAAACACATGGAATTTGGTGTTTTAAGTAGAAGCGACAATGGTACCTCCATTTAATGCTAAAAATAAAATATTTATGCAAACATTGGCCTCTTCTATCAAAAATTTGCATTGATAAACCCCAAACGATTCCAGTAGAAACAGCAATAATACCAAACACAACCTAAGTATAGACCCAACCACATGGCTGAAAGGTCCAGCTCAAGCCTGACCCAAACCTACCCAAGTAAAGAGTTTAATATTAAGGTTGTTGTCTTTTTTAACTGCAATACTTTAAGGCAGTGTTTGGTTTGATAGAAAATAAGACAACAAGAAAAAAAAAAAAAAAGGAATTTCACAAATTTCCTGAATAACTTTCCCAGAAGCTGCAATACTGCACCTTTTTAACAAATGGGCTTTAAAATTAGGTCCAAGCCCAAAACTTGCAAATAAGCTAATAATGGACCCGCTTAAATGCTAATTGAACTAGCCGCTCATGTGCACACTCAGCTGTAGCTGTTATTTTCACGCTAGTCATCAGTGATCCACCCTGTCAGACTATACTGATAGAGGTGGATACATAGGAGGCCCGTTTGGGAGGGCTTCAGCCTTGATAGAGTTGCATTAACTGAGCGGCTAGAAACTACCGAAAATAGCTTCACTGGAAGTGATTTCTCAACTCATATAAAGCCTATTTTGGCTTACTGGGTTTTTTCACCAAACATAGCTTCTTGGCTTTCTAGGTAAGCCTACCTTGCAATGCCAAAAGCCACTGTGTAAAAGCCCTTCCAAACAGTCACATAGCCTACGCCTTGTGGCTTTTGTAAGATTTAACAGAAGAAGTTGCATAAAGCTGATTTGGTTTATGGGAATAGGGGTTTAGAGCTAGAACTGGCCATTTCAATTCCAATTTGCACAAAGTTGGAACCCCATTTTTATTCTTGGTGGAATGACATTTCTCCATTTGAAGGAATGGCCATTCCCTCCCCTCTCCCTTGTGAATGAAATCTCATTCCAACCAATTCAATTTTTCAATCCAATTCTTACCTGAACTAACCAGACTATAGGAATAGATAGTTCTGATTCCGATTCCGCTTCTGAGGAATTGTGATTATGATTCCAATTCTGATTTCGACTATAAACCAAAACGGACCCTAATTTCATTTTTATGATGAGTATTATATCAGCCATTATCAACATCCCTGAAATGTCAGTTTGAATACTTTTTCCAAGGCTACAAGGGTTGGTTCATTCCCCTTGCCAACTTGTCTCTAAAGAGGAGAGGTCAAGTTAATCTTTTGTAAGCTTTTGCTCAATGTCAGCACAAAAGTCATATGAAGGGACCATAGCCATGAGTAGCTACTATCACTAAAGTTCAACTGCCAATCCTAGTAAACAGGAATTCATCTCTTCACATTAACTTTGCTGATTCATGGCAAAAGATTAATACAAAGTGAAGAAAAAAAGTGTTAATCTCCCATTGAATTAAAGCCCGCTTTAGCCTGTAACAACACAGTCTATTGCATCTATAACTTTTATGGTTTCAAAGCTTTCATCATTTTCCCAAGCAAAAAGAGCTTATAAACTCTTCTTTTATATAAACTCTTTAAGCATAAAGATAGCTAAGGAATTTGTGAAATATTTCTAAAAGAAACTATGAAAAGAAAGTCTTTATAGTAAATTAAGCAAATATGTGTGAAAACAAATCATTTTCATTGTCCTCTAGAAACAGAAAAGGAATGAAAGAAAGAAACACAACAATTACATAGAAAAAAATGCCATCTCCTTAGCACATGATCTAAAGAGAAATCAGATCCAAAAGAAAAATACAGAATTAATTTACAGAGAAGAATTTAAACTTAGGAAAAAGAAATCCAATAATAAACTTTGTATCACTAAACCCCATATCAAAAATGGATTGACATTAAGACAAATTCAAAGGGGAATGCAACTGCCTTGGTAGGGTTAAGAATCCACTAGTTAGTTGACCACCCAACACAACCCAACAAATATAATTCCAAAATGCATGACTAGGCATTCTATTAACTAGGGCTCGAAATGATATAGGAAATAAGGGCAATTAAAAAGAAAAAGAAGTAGAGGATGATGATGATGATAATGATGAAGAAGAAGTGCAATCATTTTCATTTTCATGTTGGGAAAAACTCAATTTTCATTCTTTTGTACATGAGATTGATTGGAGTGCATCTCATCTTTTACAAGCCACGTACATCTCTGAAAAAGAGACAACCAAACCTTTGGCTTTGTTGATAAAAATGAGAGAGTTTTTTTTTTTTTTTTTTTGGGGGGGGGGTGGGGGGTGCTATACTTCAATGATAAGGTTTGTACCTTTATCAAAAGTGGGATGTGCCCAACACCACTATATATCCATTTATGGAACAATCATATCCATGTATTTGAAGGTATTTTCTTTGACATTGGCGAAGTGCTATCAGTTAGAGAAATCTTTACTAAAAAAGTAGGATGCAGGGCTGAGGTGGTTCATGGAGTGAACAATTGAGAATGACTACGTATTAACCAAGTGACCTTTAGGAGTGAACACTCTGAATCGGGCAAATCACTCTTAAGTTGCCTAGCCAAGGGCCGAAGGCTAGGGCTGTTTGATAATGGCTGAAGGGTCTGAACTGAATTGATAAAACTATCATATAATAATATAGTCTAGGGTATAATACTTAGGGTGCAACTTAGGGGTTTAGATGTAATAAGCACAATAATCAGTGAGTACATAATAGCTGTGTGACACATGTTCTAGTTAATGCGTTTTTTATCCAAACGTTTTTGCTCTATTAGACAGAAATTATCCATTATTTTATTATTTTTGTCAAAATAATTAAAAGTAAAAACAATGAAAAGGAAAACCTAAACATGTTGGGAGTTGGGATTCATTTACGTTTTTCTTTTTTATTATTTATTATTTTTAATTATTTTGATAAAGATAATAAAATAATGGATAATTTCTGTCTAACAGAGTAAATGTGTTTGGATGAAAGGCGCATTAGCTAAGACATGTGTCACACAGCTATTACGTGCTCACTCATTGTGCTTACCTAATGTGCCTACTACATCCGGACTTGTAACTTAGGTTAGGTTGTATTGGAAACTTGTTAAAATTTTTAATGGACCCAAACTCTAACCCGAGCTCTTAGTCCACTTTTTGTTGGAGTCTTTGGTTGCTCCATAGGGCTGCTGTCGAACTGAGCTCTAATCAAATAGTTTGGGTTCAAGTTCAATTAGGTTTGACTGAAGTTCAATTCCAACTGAATTTGAATCTTGAGATAAGCTCAATTAGTTATTCAAAATTCAAGCTCCACCAATAAAAAAGTTTGGCTTAAAAGTTTGTGAACCTAGCTCCATTAACATATACATACATACATACATACATACATACATACATACATACATACATACATACATACATACATATATGTAAACTAAAGACTTTTAAAATACATACA